GGCTCCAATGCGTTGGAATCGCCGAACTTGAAGGTCACGTGAGATATCTTGGACCCCAAGTCCCGCACGTTATCGATGTGTATATAAATTGATTTCATTATCACATCCTTTACGTCATTATTATTACTATTAATTGAAATCATTTTCGTTTTGTTCCGGTCTTCGTCTCCGGACTCCCAGAAGGTTTCGGTCGAGTTGTCGGTCAGACTCGCGATCATTGCCTGTCGTGAAGACGCCTTTATCTCCATTTGTGTCGTCAAGTCTTGAAAGGCTTCGATCGCCGGATGGATCACAAGATGCTGTTGACTGTCGTCCAGAAGCGCGGCATTTGATTCCTCTTCAGTTCTGCCGAAGATTTTACTGATGTTTGAGAAGACGTGGCACTCGTGGAGGAAGGAGTGGTCGTCTCCACTGAATTCTATGCAAAAACATCGGACGGCTATCTGTTGGAGAGGCGATCCCATCGGCAACAGAGGCATCAGATCGGAGACAGTGGTGAGGAATGTGTGAAAGGCTTCGCTGAGGGGTTGGGCGGCCTCTCCAGCGATGGACAGGTCGGCCAACGGGTGTTCGCAGACATCGATCTGACTCTGATAGAGGACTTCCGTCTCATTGCGGCGCTCGACAGGACTCCGGGCATTATTGGCCGCATTGATGGCCTGAGCGCTGACCACACCGTTCGCCACATTCTCCTCCATCTCCTCCTTAGTCTCCTTCGGTTTCGACTCATTTGGTGTCAAAGAGTCGACGAAAAACCACATCAAGTCGTGCAGAGACACCGGTTGCGAGACATTCCTCAGCAGCCAATTGAGCGCCTGGAGAGCCAGTGTCCGACACGAGGCCTTCCGGAGCGCAGTCTTCATGGCGACCATCAGTGCGCACAAGTCGTGCGGATGTAATACGAAAGCCATTATCGGTCGGCGCAACACATTTGACACCATTTGCTGTGAGTTGTTGTCCGCGTTGTGAGAAGTGGTCGGTTGGGAACTACAGCCCTGATTGTCGTCATTGTCGTGATTGTCGGCCACAACGCAAGACTGGACCAGATTTAGGAGATTAGCGGACGGCTGGCAGAGGAATGTTGTGCTCGAAGTGTCGTTACTTATGGCGCGTTTGCGTTGAGATAAGAGCGCCGCCGATGACGACGAGACACCCCTTTCCTGCTGCCAGTCATGGATTCCCACAGAAACCGAACGAATGAAGTTATGTCGGGAACTGATTGTCTTGTGTTCGGCTTTCGTCGCGTCTTCCGAGGCCTCGCTTCCAGTCGTCATGTGATCGCTATTGAGAGGCAAAGCAGACGGACGTCCCGTTTGGATAGCAATGATGTCGTCCTCCGAGAGGTGCTCTTCGGCCAGTCTTTGGTCGTAAATCGAGTGATGAATCCCTAAGTTCTCCAAACACTGAAAGACCGAACTCTCGACCGAAAACTCCATCGACTGTCGGATGCGATTGGGATTGAATTGATTGGTGAGAGGACTGACATCATTGGTCGGCGCCATTCGCAACAAAAACATAGCGTTTTCTTTCATGATTTGATGGCTTTCCTGCTGAGAGGTGGGCGACGAGGCGTTGGTCTTGATGGGCGAACTCAGAGGCAGTGGTTTGAGTTCAGGCGCTGAATGTTTGCCGCCTTTCGCTGAGTTCTGGTCCCTACTGTTGTGACGCTTTTGAGACATGTATTTATCGCGACATTTGTCGCAAATGAGGTACCAGTTGGAGCTACCGATGCCCCCATCGCCACAATGTCCGGCCCACCCGCCGCAGAACGAACCCGAACTGTTGTAACCCTTTCCGCCCGCGTGTTCACCGCATCCCGGATGAGATTTCTTCATATGATGTGTCACTGGATATGAGTAACTGTTTCCACACAACTCGCATAACGACGAGTGGGACGCCTCCCGGGCCTCGTAGTGAAGGGGCCCTCCGTTGGCCACCGCAGCCGCCTCTCCGAAGAGGTTTCCGTGTTGTTGGACTGAATTGAAGAACCGATGGACGGGTGGGTAGCCTTTGGGCGCAAATTTGGCGATCAGTTCGTTGTACTGTTGTTTGCATTTATTTCGCGATCTATTCATCTCTTCGCTGACCATTTGAACCACTCTTTGATTGTTTTGAATTCTATTAAACATTTGGACGGGTGTTGAGGGGGCCGTCATATTGGGCGGCGTCAGGGCTGATGGCGGCTCTAATATGGCGTTCAGACAGCATTTGGACACCACTTCCCACAACTTCAGCAAATTAACTAACGTCTCGGGAATCATAAGCCTATCATTAGCCGACTCTTCCGATTGACTCATCAGTTGTTCGCAGTTCTGGTCGTAAGTCTGGTTTGTGTTGACCTCCTGTTGCGATAAATCTGTTTCCGATATAATTTTGGTTAAATCGATGTTTGCGTTGAGGTAACAGTCCTGTTGTTGCAAAGCACTCAACTGAGAGACTTCCACCGAATGCCTTCAATTGAATCATCAATTTTAACGTTACATAACATTACTTACTCTTAGAATTAAGTTTTAGTTTTACTAATTGTTATTAATTATAATTCATTCATTCATTAGTTATTCTATTTATATATAATTTAAATATTTTAATAATCAATAGAAGGAGAAGCCCTGACCTGAACTTCGCCTTTTGCTCTCTACTGGGACCGCCCCTACTGTCCCTCATTTGATGGTTGGCCCGCATTCTCACAGCATTGCTGTCACTATAATAATCACTTTCGAGTCTTTTGACGGTCTCTTTGGTCACTTCGGGGTTGAACTTGAGATACGAGGCGGCGGCCAAAGTGTCGTGAAGTACCCCCTCGTGCCATATGAAGGCCGCGAATACGGCTCGTATGCATTCGGCGACGCTGTTAGAGATGGCCTCCTTTGCCGTCGAGTAGCGCCCGTTCGGCACCTGTTGGTCACCACTGGATGACGAGTTAGTCTGCGCTGGAGTTTGCGGTTTGTCTTTGTTTTTCAGTCGTGTTTGCCGTGAATTTCGTGACTCTTTGCTGTCACGCATTGCTTTCGACGAAGTGTTCAGTGTTTGCGGCGGTTGGGGAACAGGGCTTCGGCTGTGCGTTGACTGCAACTCATCATTGATTGTGAACTGAAGGAAGTGCTGAGGAATGAGGAGTCCTTCGTCTGGAGGACTCGTTTGAGTGGCTTTTTGTGCGCAAGACTTGTGTTGAATATCGATTGGAAAAGTCTTTTCCGATTCATAACTACTAATCATTTCCGTATTCATCGAGTCGTTGGTCACAAGTGATGGTCGGCTGGGAATGGCTGTCGTTGTGTGGCGTCGAGTACTTCTCATCGACACATTAGGCGACGAACTCCTGGATCTCTGGACAGGCGTTCGTCTGGACATCGATGGCGACGAGGGAGGGGTAGGGCTTCGGTCGCAACTTATGGCGCGAACCAACTCTTTGACACAAATTCCCTGCAATTCTGGAGGCGTTTCGCGCGGACTCTCAGACGCACTCCTCTTCGATGTACTCATCGCTGGAGACTTGGGTTCAGAGTCTGTGAGGAATCTCTTCTGAAGGGCTGCCACTCGACTGCCAGTTGTGGTGAGACTTGAGGTGGAGTTCGTCAGCGAATCACAACACGAATCCATTTCAGTCAAAGTGTTGGCCAATACTGACGGCGAGACTATCGCAGAGTCGGCGCAAATGGACTCCACTTCCGACTCCGTGGCGAACGACTGACTGATAGACGTGTGATCTCTCAGTGAAGACATGGATTTGTCGACAAAGTGTTGGCCAATACTGAGGGCGAGACTATCGCAGAGTCGGCGCAAATGGACTCCACTTCCGACTCCGTGGCGAACGACTGACTGATAGACGTGTGATCTCTCAGTGAAGACATGGATTTGTCGACATATAGAGACTGCGAGAGCGCACAGGCGTTGCTGTTGGACGCAGAGGACCCGTCTTCCAGTGATTGGCCACCGAATGGCAAACCGTTGTGTTTGGACACAGACTTAGGGCCCGAGTGTTGCGATACTTTGTTCTCATTGTCCTCTTCGTCGGTGATGTGCATCACTTCCGACTCGTGCTGTAAGTACACGACATCGTTGACAGTCCGCGAGAGAGTCCAACCCTCGCCGTCAGTGTTGAAACAGAATCGTCGCATACTTTCGCTGTCGAGTCGAAGCCAAGTGCCCGAAGAGTTGGTGGTGTCGGCCGTCACTCCGATGACGTTCCCCAACACAACCATTCCTACGGGAGGGGCCCTCAGGTGCGCTTTACTGCGGATGTTATGCCCGGAAACGCCGCACTTCACGACGTGATAGAGCGCCGGGTATTCCGTCCTTTTGAGCACTTCTTTCACTTTCTTCTTCTTATTGGACTTCAAATCAATCGACAGTTTTCGGGTGTTTTGTGTGTCTATTGTCGGCCCGTTGTTCAGGACTATGGGTTTGGGTTCTCCGATGGGAACCAACAAAGTTTTGGCCAAATGCTGGTTGTATTGCAGAGCCCAGCCCTCGATGTTGTGCTCGACTGTAGATGTGTTGCAATACTTGTCGATACTCTGAGGGCTGAGTCGCACCCATACGCCGTCGTCATTGTGTGTCTCCTCACTGATGGTTAGGACGCCATTCACTTCAATCACTCCCAACTGTTGCGACTGTAGGGAAGGCAGAGACCGCACCCGTAGTCCGGCGCTGTTTCGCACCACAAACTTCCGGGTCCTCGAAGGCGCCGACTTTTTGCTTGATTTGTTCGACAGGTTCTGGATCTGAGGCAAAGACACGCCTTTCGGAGGTTTCCCGACGCGGACTGATTGGGTTGTGTTGACCGCCACGCCGTCCACCGTTATCTTCAACTGATACCAACCCGTGGACCCCGGCGTCCAATTGGCGGTATAAGTGCCGTCATTATTGCTCCTCACGAGCATTGCCTCAATGGATGGCCTCTTGACTGGAGTCACATACCGGAGCTCTTCGAACGAGTAGTTCTCGAAGGCTCTCATCATTGTTATCGCGTGATAGAAGACCTTGTCTTTGGCTGTAATGCTGTAGTTGTGGGACTGGACGGGCGGTCCCGCACTCACCGCACTTCCCGTCCCGTTCTCGGCGTTGGAATCGGTGTTTGAGTTGTTTTTGAAGGGCTGAGCGCTCACCTCGACCTTCAGGTTCGGCACATTCACGACGTTTGAGTACTGGTCGCGAGTGATATCACCGCACTTCCCGTCCCGTTCTCGGCGTTGGAATCGGTGTTTGAGTTGTTTTTGAAGGGCTGAGCGCTGACCTCGACCTTCAGGTTCGGCACATTCACGACGTTTGAGTACTGGTCGCGAGTGATGACTGTTATGACTGTAGGCCATCCGCACTGCAACTCCTGGTCTGATCCGCAACTGCAGTGCACTTCACACTGATTTGGGTCCACAAAAGACTCGCTTTGAAACCATTTGGCGAGTCGTGCGCCGGATGTGCCCGGAGTTAAGGCACAGAAGTCTTTGAGGAACGGGTGTTCGTTGGCGAGAGGGACCACCCCTTCGATGGCTTCGGTGGCAGTCATGGGTCTCGAGAGCGCCAGACCTCTACTCAATAGACTCGAGTGGGTGTCGAATGTCTGGACCGCAGACTCGACGCTGACATCACTTTCGCTGACAATTTGAGGCAAAACGAGATTCTTCTTCAGCAGCGCTTTGATGCAAACGCCCGACAAATACGTCAACTCCTGTTCCAAGTACTGGAGCCCCAGATATAGGCCTTCAGTGATGGGGTTCTCATATCCGATCACTTGTGCTCTAAAGCCATAGTAAAGGCTTTTGTCTTCTTTCACGTAATCGGAAGCCGTCTCTAAACTGAAGACCACTTCATTGCCAGGGATGACAACCCAAGTGTTGGGCCAAGAGTTGGGTTTTCCGGTGAACTTCTTGAGGACCGGCCATAAAGTCTTGTTGTTGTCGTGGAATTGTGTCACTTTCGATGACTCCCAACACTTCGTGACTCGATATTCAGGAATATATATCTGAAGCGTGTCTTCGGGCTGAGCGGTGGCGCACCGGATGTCGAAGTCAACGCACATCCACTTGACTGTCGGCGCGAATTTCACCGAATAGTTGCTGACTGTGGCCGACCTGTAGGGGTGATCGCTCTCTACCGTCGCGTAATGTCTGGATGTCGTCACCGTTGGACTCGTCGGCGGTAATGGAGATAAGGATCGGTTGGGAACACAGTATTCGTTGGATTTGTTGAGGAATACGATTAATGGCAACAATTGTCTCATTATTGACAGCATTTGTGTGGCGTTCTTGGGATCCGTCGACACGATTGGCGACAAATACGCCAAAACTGAAGGCAACAACTTCTTGATGAGCAGAGACGACGAGATCTTCCAAATCAAGTCAAATGTCGGACATTCCTGGGCCTGAAGTAACAGATCTATAGCCAAACCGATGACACTCTCAGTGATTGCGATCGCATTCTTTCGGGGGATCTCTTCGTTCATCAAATAGTAATTGGAGTCCGAATTGACTGATTGGGGAGCGCTGTAGTACAGGAGCTGAGGGACAGACAGACAGTTAGTCAATGATTGCTATATCCTATGATCACAAATGCATTACTTGTGGGATCTGTCCTCTCGTGTGATTAGTTCCGTTGAAACTGAGGGAACAGTCGCTGAAAGTGAATGTCGTGTTGTCGGGGCCTCTGATGTGAGTGAGTCCGGCGTCTCCGTTGTTGGTCCTCTGGCCGTGATTTTTGAGACGTAAGGCGTACTAAATGTCCGCAAATTATAACACAATTCAGACATTGCTTTCACTGAATGCGTGCCAAACGTGTCATACCTTAACATTGGGTGCTATGAGGACTGGTCTCTCAAACTTGATTTCGCAGACATCAGTCGACTTGTCCTCAAAACTATACGAACCCTTCGCCAACTCGACTGTACGCCAGGGATGTGACTGTCCGTCGCGGGGCACCGCCCGGTCCTCCTGGGCCTGAGAGCCGCCGCCGTAATCAAGTAATTCCAACTCATAGTGCCATTCGTTGCCAATACCCCCGTAAACAGTGACCCCGGCTATCGATATGCCCGGTCTGTCCACTGAGAAACAGATGGCATCCGGCGATCCATTTCCTGTATTCCACGTCCGGTTCTGCGAAATGCGTGAAAACCTGGAGGGAGTGCTGTGCAGCTGTTGGCCAGACATCACGTGAGAGTCGTATCCAATGCCCGTCACCTGAGCCACGAGTTCGGCCACTATTGTTGTGATCAGATTACACGAGTTCTCCACTAATTGCATGCAATGACTGCTCTCTGACTCCAACTCCGACTCCATCTCCAACTCCGAGACATTGTTTGTGTTGTTCTCCTGTTGCAGACAATGTCTTATCGGTTGTCCAATGATTTCGAGTAATTTGTTGAATATGTCTCTAAACGAACAGTCAGTTCCCGAATGACAGCCCTCTTCGTCCGTCTTCTCCAGCAGTTTGTCGTTAAGGATTGAGTTCTCATAACTGATCCCTAAGTCTAGACATAAAACCAAAATTAATACCACTTTTCAAAGCACTCATTGTCTCAAACCCTACCAGAAGTGGGACTCTGGAGTTCGGAAGGGCTCTGAAGGTTATAGACATCCAAACCATTCATTATGGGGAAGGTTTGGGTCAACCGAACGGATGGTCTGCAGAGTGCGGCCAACATTGCGGACAAGAGATGGACGGATGGCTGTTGTGGCGATCGGTTATCTCCGAGCAAAAGATCACATAAAGCGCGCCATCGGAGAGAAGCGCTCGGATAGAAGGAGTGATAACACGAGAGAAAGGTTTCGTGACTTTCGTCCATAATTTGTGAGATAAAAGCGTTCACTTCGCCGGTGAACGAGTGGTTACGGGGCGGGGGATCGGGCGGTGCCGACAGGATGTGCTTCAAGAGAGTCCTCACTTCGTATATACACTCCGCGAGTCTTAAGGAGTCATTGGTTTGTGAGACAGACTTGTGGTCGTTATGTCGGTTCGGATAGATTTCGTTGACATAAACGTTGAGTAAGTGAAGAGAAGCGCAACAAATGTACGTTAAATGTCTTAATTCAATGAGATTTGTACCCAAAACACGACTATTAGACTCTATGCTACCGGTGCTGTTCATATCACACACAATGGCTTTGAATGACTTCCAACTCCAGCGCAAGAGTTTCAGCAAAGAGTGAAAACAATCCGTTTTAACGGTTAATGAGAACTCTTTGCCGACAATACAAACCGACTCTTCGTATACACCGTTAGATTCGTTGCGATTCGCCGAATGACTCGAAGACTCACTTCCAGAAGACATCACTTTATAGAGGATTTGCGGGATTTGTCCGGCGTTTACATCCGTCCCGTTGTTGGACTTCTTGGAGCTCTTGAAGTAGAAGATGATCTGATCCTCAGTGTTGACCACAGACTGACCGCTGGATCCGCAGTCACTGCTGGGGCCGGAAATGCGAGCCCACGAGACGTACCACCGGTTGGCCTGCAGGGGAACGGCCTCTTCGAACAGAATCGGGTACTTCTGACGGGCGGCGCATTCGAAGGATATCTCGTCCGTCTCCGCGAGGATCTCTCCGTCGCCCTCCTGTTCCCCACCGTCCGGTCCGATGTCGAAGAGCTTCAGTTTAGCCGTGTATTCGCCGCGCCCTCCGAACAGACCAAAGCCGCCCAACAGGACGTCCGCGTCGGCCATAAAACGTATGGCTTCTATGGAGTGACTCGAGAAACCCCAGCCTTTCAGTGGACGGACGGACGGACAGACAGTTAGGGTTTAATACAAGTGAATGGTGTGAATGAATGGTATGAATACCTCCGCCGTGACTCTCGAAACGACAGACTGAGGAGAAGTCATCTTTGCTCAGAGTTTTGGTGACTTTACTCTTGTTTTGGTCGACCTCTTCGATAGTCCAGCCTTTGGTTGAGTTGAGAGACAAAGCATTTGATAATTATATTGAATATACGTATGACTTATGAGACAATCAGTGAATACAAACCCATCTGATGTGCGGCCGTCAGAGTGTCTAAAGTGCACAAAAGGTTGAGCGCAGCTGTGGTTCGGTTGACTCGAGAGGACGGCTTCTGTGGAAGCGCTAACTCTGGCAACAGAATCGATGTCATCGAAAGTGATTGGTTCGGGATCTTTGTCTCGGCGTGTATTAGATTATAGCGATTGAATGAATGGCTTCTGGAGTCATAGGTCCAGAGGACGTCATAGTAATTGTCTAAACAAACGGCAGAAAAGTTTGATAATTCCAACTGATCTGAAGAGTTAAAGCTCTTGCAGTTGCCGTCGGATCTGCTGATGACTAGAGAGTGAAACTGTCGGTCATTAGACTCGTATCGGTTATCCTTAGCCGACGAGACCTCAGGGTTTGACGGAATGATTGCAATACAGCGGCGATTGGCTATCACTCGGGCCGACGACAGAGACATCGGGTTTACCAGCGATTCGTCGAACTTAATGAACGTGTGGTCACCGGAAGCCGATATGTATGTAGCCTTTCGGCCCAACTGTTGCCCTATACTGGCAATAGTGCCCGGAATGGCATTCCACGCAAAGTCAATAGTCGAGGGATTGCGACCCAACTGTCCCTTTTGGTTGTTGCCAAACGTGTACACCTGTCCCGTGGAGCTCAAGAGCACCGTATGATTACTTCCGGCAGCGATTTGAATGATATTCGCTTTGAGCAGTACTTTTGTGGGCACTTCTCGGATGGCAAAGTCGTTGTGTCCGAGTTGTCCGAATTGGTTGCTTCCGAATGTGTAGACATCACCACAAGAGGTCAATAGGACTGAGTGGTGGAGACCACAAGCGATTTGAATGATACGACTCGTGAGGTTGAGTCTCGTGGGCGGCAATTGAGTGAGTTTTGAGGCCTCGCCGTCACTGCCGGCGTCACTCATGTCGTGAATATTGATTACATTCGACACGTGTTTGTCGATCAGTTCCATAGCAGGCATTCCGTTGTCTCCCATCAGCTCCTGTGCCCGAACGGCACCACCACTTCCGGCGCCCACGAGATTGCGATAGGCTTTGGACGCGTGTCTCAGACGTCGTCCCAAGACATCGATTCCCACTCTTCGGCGTTCAGTTCGTGGGTTTAGAGACACTCTGAGAGACCCGCGACTCAGAGACTGCGGCTCTTCGTAGACGTGATCGTTGGCCGCATAGCCGGCGCCGGCGTTCGCCTGATTAGCGCCCGACGGGTCGACCATTGCGAAGGCGGCCGCAAACCTCTGCATCTCATCGCTGAGGGGATCGCCATAATTGAGTTGTTGTGCCATTGAGTGGGCATTCAGTGCCATCTGATTGAGTGGTAGGAGTGGGCACTCATTGGACTCATTGTTCTCATTGGCCGCCAATGACTCTTCTTTGGGCACAGACTCACAGCCCCGACAACAGCCACAGTCAGTACAACCGGCGTCTCCCGCACCGCAACCGCACGACAGACCGGGATTGCGTTCACACTTCCCGCTGGCTATACATCCCGTGCCATATCCCGTGCATTCGCCACAAATGGTGCAAATCATGCACTGATCATATTTCCATCGGTGCTGTCCGAACCCACACAACGGCTCCGTTATGTCTTCCGTCACATCGATCTGTTGGTCGCCATTCCTGTCATCCGTTTCCTCATTAATCGCGTCCTTATTGACGGACGTCTGCATGAGATCGAGACCGCACTGACCCTTATTGGAGATCCCGAACGTATACACCGTTCCCTTGTTAGAGAGCGCCAGTATGTGTGCCTTTCCAATGGCCACCTGAGCGATGACCACATGTCTCAGAGATGTCACTAATCCGGTGCTGCGGTCGACATAATGGGCGTCTTTGCCGAACAGATAGAGTTCACCGCTTTTGGTGACCAAAGCACTCGACCCGTGATTACAGGCACTCATCTCAACGCCCTTTCCCTCCATTTTCATCATTTTCTTGGCCTTCGCGGCCTTCGGTTGGCGCCGACTCTTCGTCTGTTCGCCGTCTTCTCCTCTCTTCGCGAGTCCGACGAAGAATACGGACCCGTCTTCTGACACGAGCAGAGCGTGAGAGCCCTCGTGTCCGACACTCATGTGCTCTATCTTTGGGCACTTCGTGACCGGCAGTTCACACCACTTGCCACAAGTGACGCCACTTTGCTTTATACCCAAACTCTGAGCCCTTCCGGTGTAGAAGACTTTGCCCGAAAAGGTGCGGATGAGAGCAAAGTCTTTGCCGCAACAGATCTGCACGATATCGTCGGCTTCGATGGTGTCGATGGGTCTCAGGAACGGCTGTTTCATCTGCTCATCGTTTGGTGGCATTTGTTGCTCGAAGATCGCGGAACCCATTCCTCCGCAGTAATTGAGGCACTTATGCGACAACTTTATCGTCAACTCCTGAGTGACGGACATTATATTCATCGCCGAGTCTTCGGCCGGAGGTCTCAGAGTTCTGATGACAAAGCAGTCGTCTTTTGTGGCGGATATGAGAATCAGACTCTCGTTATCTGAAGCACAAGCGCTGGGACCCAATTGGGTGACTCCGAGCATCACTTTCCCCATCTCTCGGAACGTATTCCTATCCAAACGGATCAACTCATTGTGGGTCCAGTTGTTTGTCTGGAGGTATAGACTGTCACCGATAGATCCAATCCAACCGATGAGTCCGCTCTCACTCTTATGCGCACCGATGCTATTGCTGTCCACGAGCTGTCCCTTAACTGTTCCGCAATAACCGGAACCTATTTTGTGGATTTGATTCCCGGAATACAGGTATAGATATTTGCCGTCAAAGGCGAGGGAAGACTGTTTGAAGTGTCGACTCGTGTCCGACGGTATCCTAACGTTGAAAGTGTCGCACAAAGAGTTGCCACAAAAGCCATGAGTGACCCAATCCGGGCGTCGGGTCTTTCCCAACAGCACGCAGTGAACCGCTCTCTGCAGTGATATCAAGATATTCGGCGTTTCGATCACATCGTCGTCGACACTGAGCTCAGGGCTCGTCAGGAGGGCTGTGATGGCCGTCAATGTCTTGTCGGTGTCCCCCCTGGCGGTCACTAAACTAAGTAATGCCGAACAGGCGTACGATTTGAGCTCAACGAAGGTCTGGCTGTTGGACACGGAGGTCGAGGTCGACGCTATTGTACCGGTGCTCACAGGATATGGGGTGTCAGTGGACGACAGTTCCAACAATAAGTCAAACAAAGGGTTTATCACATCCGAGGGCTCGTCTGTGTGTATAGTAATAGGGATTAAGAGTTAGAGTTAGTCTCGAGAAGTGTCTGTGCCTTACATTTGAGTCCTTCAGGCAGTTGTCCCTGAAGTGCATTCAGGAGGGCCTGAAGGGCGCGAATACACAGCGATGGCAGACATGAACGCGACTCTCGGATCAACTCAAAGGCAACGCTCAGACCAAAGCCAACCACTTTCGGGATCTGTTTGGGGATACAATCCATGAGATGATGGCATCAATGCATTCACTCTATTGTCTTATCCACTAATCCATGGATACATACCTTCATCACAGACTCTGTTTGCTTGTTATCACTCGACTCGTCATCACTGGCAGTGTTGTCCGCACTATAGATGCGCCCATAGGTTGAGCTGAAGACAAGGGACGCGTCTTTGAGTTGCTTCTGAAGAACCCATTGTCTGACGGCCGCGAAGACACTGAACTCCGAGGCGTTGGCGTTGAGCTCAATGAGCGGTGACTCGTGAGGGGGCGTCTGACTGGTGGTGAGGGGCGGCCCCACTGGTGGCCAACCGTTTCCCTTATCCAACATCTGTCTCAGTATTCCGGAAGCGATTTCACGCATCTCTCGGGACATCGATTGCTTCCTCTGGTGTTTGCCTTTCAATGCTTTGACACCCCTTTCGGTGGACTTCTTGGTGGCGGCCGAGGAGGTGGTCGTGTGTGCGGCCACTGGTGTCCGAAACAACTCGTGGAACTCCAACTCAAGCATCTTGTGGTCAATACACGGATCTTGTGGTCAATACACAGATCTCGCGGTTAATGACAATCACTATTGAAATCACTTTTCATTAATCCATTCATTTGGACACAACTTCTCATATATTCATAGCATTTGTTGCCAACGATTGTTGTGTTGTTTACAACCATTTCAATGACATATCGTTTGTCGCTATTTATTATGCAATCGTATGAATGAGTGCTTATTAACAGTGAATGAGTTTATTATGGATTTAATTAAAAACTAATTTATTTCATAATAAATACGAGAATTACTCGAAACGAGTGTTCAATCAATAGGTGATTGAGTAGTGAATGGAAAGCAGTGTTTGCATTGAAGTCAATGTTTTTTGCGTTCAATTCAATGTAAACACCGATTGTTGTGTTTGTCTGCATCTCTCATACGATGGCAGCACGAGTTGAGTGTCTTTTCATTCACTGGTCATTGACTTCATTGCTATTGTATTCAATGAATGCATTCATTCCCAGTGTTTGACACAATGCAGTGCATTGACGGACAGTGTTTTACTGGGAATATAGCCCATTCTGGTGGGAGTTTATGCTGTGTTTGTGCAGTGAGTGTGTGTCCTATCATATGTTTTGTGCGATTATTTAAATGCAATAAAATGCAAATCAATTGCAATTCAATTCATATGACAATCATTTGAGTGGTAGTTATGAATGCAGTGCTCAGAGGGAGTGCTTTCATAGGGAAGCGATTGTATCGACAGTACTGTCGGTACAGACGCTACGGGACAGACACTCCATTCGTGCGGACACTCGACGGACAGGCATTCAAACGAGACGTTAGGGAGAGGGAGGAATGGGGTGAGTATTGCATGTGATATAAGACATGGATTATTGTGGTAACAGTCGTGTCGTACAAACAGGTAGTGACACGGATGGGGAACTGGATCTCTTGGACACGAAATACTTTACGCCACAGACTCTGGATTTGTTGGCAATTAAGTTGACTGAAGACACGAACGACTGTCCACTGCTTGCCAATCCTCACATGACTTCAGGTAATCGTTGATCTCTTGGTATGTTTGTATGAAATAGTATTCCTGTGAACAGAATATTCTGTTTATATTTAACACAGAATTTCAAACGAATCGCTTTTTAACGAAGAGTTTTGAATGCGTTTTAGAGCACATGAAAGACGCCGAGAGTTATCACAAGACTTTTGTCCATAACTTTGCAATCAATCTCTTCTATAGCATAGAATTGAATCATTGTTTTCATTGGACTCAACGCACTCTGGAGGAGACACTCGTCGATCACTGCATCACTTCCAGAGCGGACGCATCTATTTATTGCAAAAACAGTGAACCCATTAAACACATTGTTCTCAACACTAACTGTAAGATCATAACCAGTTATGAAGACTACGAGAAGTCGAGGGCGCAGACCATCGGACAGTGTATTGTCACTGCTCTTCGCAATCAACGCATTTGTGGTGACAATGGCGTCGACTATAACAAGAAGTCACAACTGTTTGCACTACTCGTGCGCTCACATCTGTTTCACTTCTATTGGGCAGACATTAGTGACACGTATTTAAGACAATTGCGGACAGAGTTCGACGGATCCGAGCAATTGGTGGTCAAAGAGTGGCAAACATTGGACTTTCGTCGCGAAGACCATCAGAAACTTGTGGCCAACTCTTTGCGGTCTATTCTTGAGTATCAGTTACAGTGATGTGAGAACTGGAGGAATGGCTCGTTTGCAACACTCTGTACAATGAGTTCAATGATCTCCGTTTGAATGCAAACCAAATGAAACTTTCAATCAATCAATAAATATGTCTTTATTTTTGTATCCAATTGTGTCAATGAATCCATTTTTATATACAAATACTGTAGTCATAGAATATATTGTCATTTATTCCTATCGTACCGTAATTACCGTATAGACAGACAATCCTTTGGATGCCATTCAATACAATCACTTCAAACACTCGTAGACTTCAGTGTCTAATGAATGCAAGTGTGGATCAAAGTGTGCCATAAATGCCAGACATTTGCCAATCAGTTGGCGATCACTGAGTGACCGGAAGTCCAATTCGAGGCCATTATTCCATTGGTTGGCAACTATT